AACACTTATCTCTAACCACAGGCTGATACGGTTACTGGATTTGACTAACGGCTATCAATCAGCCCAACTGTAGACACTTGAGAAGATATCAGCCAGCAAAGCCTAGCAGGAAAATGTGAGCTAAACAGCAGCACTGTATATTTTATGTAGGGTCTGTCTACCCTGAATGACAACGTCACTGTCCTGAGACCTCTTACCTCTTTTTTTTTCTGCTTGATAATCCTCAGACTTACTCTGATTGTCCACCCTTCCTTCCCTTCATTAAAGTGCATATGGCTTGTATCCAGAGTCAGTGGGAGTTTTGCCACTGATTTAGGATTGAGCTGAAAACACTGTTTGTCAACATGGATCAGTGAACACTTCTGCCTTTCCTTTGTCTGTTAGTAGGGCTTCAATCAAGATGTCACTGTTATCCTGTCAGACTGGGAAAACAAAGGGTTAAATTAGTGGCCTGGGTTCATCCAGTCTTGATTATATGAATCCAAGAGTCCAGTAGAAATTCTGGAAAAAAAATCTCTCTGATAGACTGGCCACTTGTCTGGGGAGGAAGAAAAATCCTGTTTCATTAGGTCTGGTTTGGAAAAACCATCAGCCTCCCACACATCCATATGCACATGAATGGCAGAGGAATAAAGGAGAAAAAGTGCAGAGTATAGAAATACTGAATGCTGACTGGATCTTTCCAAGGGATGAAACCTTCTCCCGGTACAGTTGCTCTGGTCTGTGGTGAACTTTTATGGCACTTGCACTTAAATCATTCTTGTAACAAAGCAAGATAATTTCCAAAAATGGCAAAAACTGATTCAGGCCAAAACTGTATCATACCTTGGTTCAAAGGTTGCAAATTGAGCTGCGGAGTTGTTTTTAAGTTTTCCTGCCACCAATACCTAACTGAGACCAAACAGATAAGTGAATACTTGCTAAATGTGTTTTTTTGCTCTTGGTCCAGTAGACACGCTGGTTTAAATTTCATTGTAAAACACAAGATAATATGATTTCAAACTTTGTGTTTGAAACTGGTTGCATGATAAAGATACCAGTTTTCTCTTAAACCTCATTTAAGGAGTCTGCCACTTTACAGGGAAACCCATAGTTATGAGCAGGATTCGTAGACATGTCTTTGCATGGCTAACTTTTACCTAGGTTGCTGCACCATCTTAGTTTTTTTTATCCTCTCCCCTCAATATCCAATCAGAGATGTCTCCCTTTTCCTTATTTTCTCTTATCCTTTCAACTCTTGCTGTCTCCACTCCTTTTACCTTTTCTGATATTTATCGCTTTGAAAAGCTTCTGATGGCCCTGTTCTCTCTCTGCTTCAGGGTGGCATTTCAGAAATCTGCCCAAGTAGAATTGGGAGCCTAGAAAGGTATGTTTTAAGCTAAGATCTGCAAAGAGAGGAAGAGCTGACTATGCAGAGAGATACAGGAAGGCTGTAAATAAACTGAAATACACCAGCAGCTCCACATCTACAGTGCAGTGCCCACCAAGATAGGGGAGGAATCAGTGACCAGATATTCTCAAGCACAGGGATGCATCTGACAAAAGAACTAGCATGGGTCTGAAATGAGACCATATGGGAAAAAAGGACACTGGGGATGTTACTATTGACACATGTATCAAAGATTAAAAAAGGAACATGGGCTCCACTCATCCCACTCCTCTGTTACCAACACACATCAGGCGAAATCCTGGCCTCACTGAAGTAACTGCACAACTCACTTTGACTTCAGTGGGGCTAGGAGTTAATCCATAATGTGTGTACATAAGAAGTGGTGGTAAGGGGAGCTCAGTGAAGAATGACTCACAGTACAGCACACAACTACTACCAATAAACGTCATGGCATAAAGACCAAGGGTGAAATCCTGCCCCATTAAAGTCAATGTGAGTTTTACCATTGAGTTCAATGGGGTCAGGATTTCACCCCAAGCGTGTTACAGGTACACCTTTGTCCTCTCCTCCCCTCTGGGTCTGCGCTGAGTGCAGGTCAGCTAGGCTACAAACTCTTCAACCACCTTCTTCACCCTTCACTGAAACACTTGTTCTAGGGTAGCAATAAGCACTGTATTGATAAAGATGAGCTGGTATTAAGGTGCATGGTACTTTGTGGCTAGTGTTATGCTACATGATGCTTTATTGTTGACAACAGGCTTTAGAGAAACATATCCACTTCTGCAACCACAGCAAAATTTTGTATAATTTCAGCTGGAATGATGAAAAAAAGTTTTCTAACTGATGACAGGCTGTTACTCATATAACTTGCAATTTAGATCACCCGCGCCAGGCCTGGCACAAAGTTTTGTGTATATCCTTGAACTCAAGCCAATGGGGAAGTGCCTTGCAAAACACTGAAAACCTCTACTATTGATCTATGATTAAGGCTGATTCAGCAGAAAGTTATATTTCATTCACACAAATCTGAAATGAGACCTATACTCTGGCTAATCCAAGCATAATCAGTCTGTTGCAGCCTTTGGGCCATTGTAAGCACTATGAGTCGGATTCTGATAGCCTTGCTTCTGGTTAGTATCCTATTCCCAGAACAGTTCCAATGAAGTCAATGGGACAATTTGTGGAGTAGGATAGCCTTACTCATACTGAGTAGTATCTTATATCACAAATAGTTCCACTGACTTTTTTGAAATTATTCTGGGAATGAGACACCACTCAACGTGAGTAAGGCAGGCTATCAGAATCTCAGCTGACATAAAGAGATCAGAACATCAGTTAGAAATGACAGAAGTTTAAAAATATTTTCAAGTGAAAGCAAAGGAGAATGGGGGAAGGAATGGAAAATAAGTCTCTGGTGATTTGGCAAAAAGAAAAGGATGGCTGGAATGCTGGACCAACAGGTAAACTTAAAAAACCAAAAACAACTCTCCTACTCTTACCCCCTCAATGCCAGATGAAAAGCAGATGGGTAGTGACCTAAGTTCACTGCTATTTTTCAGCAGAAGTAGCTGCTTTACTTATTGAATGTTTTGGAAATAATCCATGGGAGTTTGCAAAATTTTACAGTTTATTGCCACCATGTTCACAGTAGAATAGATTCTCTTTTGCAATTTATTAAGGATGTTAAAAAGACAACATATATCATACAAAGGTTATTGCAAAATTAACTCAATGCAACAATCCATAAAGAAGATATTCAATGCTATTCACTGCAGTTTAATGACAGTGAAGTCTTAAATTTTGCTTATGGCATATGTTGGGCTCCTGCATGTTCAAATATCTTAATCTGTAAGTCATAATGTTACTAATTAAACAATGTAGCACATATACACTTGGCAGATTCCTGACATACACAGTTTTTGACTGTCTCCCAGATTTAGGACTGAGAATGTCAAACTGACCCTGTCTTTGGCAAGGACAACAGAAGGCCTGGTTGTATCAAACTCTGCTTCAAATCAAATCTTATTTCTACTAAAAATCTGGCATTTTTTACCCTTAAGCCAATATTTGAATTTGCACAATTGTTCCTAATTCAATTGATCATGTTAAATTTTTGGATTTGGAGAGCGAGTGCTGTGTTATAAAAAATGAAAATTCAATGTATAGGGTACAAGGCAATTTTGCATGGTTTATACAAGACAATATTTCATCTAGGGCAGTGCTGTAAAATAAATGACAAAAAAGTTTTTTTGAGCAAATCATAAAGTGTTCTCTCTTTGGTTGTTTGTCATGTTTTATGCTCATTGTCAATGCAAAAATGAAACTTTTTTTTATTCTGCAAGTGAAATCTTGAAAAAGTCAGTTTCATTATGAACCTTATATGGAATAAAACTTAGTATCTAAAAGTTTGCAATGGAGGACTTAACTGAAACTCCTAAAATCCACATTCTCCTTTTCTCTCATTTTCTGATCTCATTTATGAGTCACACACAGAGGGTGGAGTGTAGTAAATCTACTCTGACCATTTGACTAGGCAATAAGCCCAAGAACAAATATTTTTCCATATGTTAACATTAATAAACAGTGAAATCCCAAAGTCCTTTTGCAAGGCTTCAACTAGCATTTTGAACTTCATATATTGCAAATTCATCTTTGTCAAGAAGTATTGCTATCGCATGATTGTTTCTAGAGGCCCTTGTACTTTGGCTACACCTTTGTAATTTGTAAAAAACGGACTATTTGTTTTTAAGCTCAAAGGTGAGCCATTTTCCTTTAGATTTTCGTATTCATTTATTTAAAAGGTACATCATTTTATTTCACAGTAGCTGTTCCAAAATGGTGTATGAGGTTTCTGTAGGCACATCACCAATAGACTGTATGATAAACCATATAATTCTTGCAGTAGTTTCTGGTTTTCATCCAAAATGCATTACATGGGATAAGAAGATCAAGTAAGTATAATACGCCAAGAGAATACTGATAGTTAATCTAACAGAATCAGTCAAAAGTAAGTCTTATTTCCTACCACATTGAAGTTTTACTACCTACATTACCCTAGACAGTGTCAAAACAGTTTATTCTTCAAAAACTCCTACCTCAGTCTGTTTCTAGAAATTGACATTACAGTGACTTTCCAGATCTCAAGTATGCCAAGAGATGACTACAAGCAAACATCTGGAACTCAAAAAGCGCAAACTCCAGAAGTAAGACGACCGTATTGAAGGCTATGTCCTTCCTTCCTCAAAACAAATTATTTCCAGAACCCCACAATATAGGCCTCTGTCAATAGATCCTTCAGCCCCTATTTATCTACATCTCAGCCATCTAGATTCAGGTGTTATGTTCTTGTTACAGTGTTCACATGTGCTTTTGTAAAAGAAATCAATGTTTTTAAAAGGGCTGTGGGAGACTCACTCCTCAGGAAAAAAGAATCCAAGATGGAAGTCACAACCCTAAGTTTATATATAATGGGCTTTTGTAGTTCCAACTGTAAATAAAAATAAAACATGCTTCCAATCTTCTACTGCATACAGTGTTACAATATATAGTACTGTATATTTCTGCACAATTTTCACATTAAAAATAATGATGATAAAACAATATTTCTTACTTCCGACGGAACATTTCTGCAAATATGCAGCCAACACTCCAGAGATCAACTGGTGTTGCATAACTGGATTGAAGCAAAACTTCAGGAGCTCTGTACCACAGAGTGACAACCTGTAAAACAAAGAGGAACATATTAGGAGAAATATTCAATTGCAGAAATACCAGCTAGTGTGTGGGGTTGCCCAGTGACCCAGATTGCCTTAAACTTGTACGGTCTCACACACTAAGGATGGTCAGGTTTGATCACTGCTTAGATGACAGTCCTCTAAGGAAAATCCAGGTGCTGCCAGAAGTGGTGTGGAGGAGTCAATAGGTGGGATTATTCCTTTTGAATCGTGGTATTAGAAGGCACTGTACACTCATTTAAAAAGATGAGTCAAAAAACCTAGTCCCAACTCACTTATGGCCATTAAAGCTTCCATGGCATATTCTGCAGAAGTAGGGATATTAAGTGTGGTGTCTTGACCAAATTCCAACCTGATTAAATATATTCTGCTGACCTAAAATCGCTCCCTAAAATCTACTGATCTGGAGACAAATTGTAAATTGTCATATCTCTACTGAAGTCAGTCCTCCAGGGACTGTGTCTTATAGGTACTGCGATGTACTAGGGGCTGCATGAGTAATGCAAATTGGGCCCACAAAGATAAACCAGACAGTTAATATTTATTACTTTGTTTCCCCACCATAGACCTAGATACAGGTGGCTCTGACTGTACACATTAAAGACTAAGGCTCAATTATGAACCTTCCAGCATGCCTGCACCCTTACATCCCTGACTGAGTCACCACATGGCTGGGGCACAATTTCAGAATCACAGCTTGGTTCCACAGTTGCCAACTTTCACACAGTAAATAGGCACCCCGACTTTCACAATAAGCCAAAAATCAAGCTAATCCCATTTCAAAACAAGGCCAAAACAAGCCAATCCCTAAGAACCCCAACACTCTAAGTGATCATGTAGTCTGGGACTGTGGGGGGCACGCTGTGCACCCCGACTCTCTCCCTCCCATGCCCGTTTGCCCCTTGCCGATCAAAAAAAGAAGAAGCAACAAGCTACAAGCCAAACAAGCAACAAGCCAAAAACTAACCAACAAGCAACTCACAAGCCAATTAAGCCAAAAACAAGCCCAATTTCTGCACTTTTTTCGTGGGTTCCTGCTTGGTTCCTATCCTATGCCTCGGTACAGTTACAATCCAGCCCTAAAGAAACAGGATCTTCAGCTGAAGGACAATACTGTATTGGTAGTATGCTGTAGTTATAAACTACAGACAATATTATAAAGAGGGAACTGGGTTCTCATAATTATTGCATTAATTTTGAGATACAAAAATACGTGTTGGAAAGTGCAGTGTTTCTCTAGGCTCATGAAACTGAAATTAAAAAAGATACAGAAAAAGAAATAATTTCAAAGTAAAAGATAGAAATAGATTTAAAATTCATGTTATTTAAAATGGTGAGTGCTGAATTTAAAGACCAGTACTCAGCAACATATGACAAAGGTGGGTTTTTTAAATAACAACAATATAATTGTCCTCTAAGCAGAAATAACAATGCAAGTAATCAGCTGAATTTGCTGGTCGGAACCAGCTGAAACAAAAGCAAATACAACATTTATTACCATCATTACATGCCCTGACAGCGTCTGGAGGTGTTGAATGGATAGAGGAGGGAAGTTCAAGGATATTTACACAAGTGTCATATTTGCTAAAAGTTCTTTTACATGCTTTGATCTCTATTCATAAAATTTATTTTTAAAACAGTTCAATAACTTTGTGCAAACTAAAGCTGAGCTGAGCCAACTTTGACTTCAAGATACATGCCCATGTAAACTGGCACAGCAACAGAAGAAGGTATAATATAACCCCATTCATTTTCTCTGATTGGTTGGTACCAAATAGGGATGCTTTTCTAACATATGTACATGGGAAGGTAACTCTCCCTCAGAAGTTCATTCCAATGAAGGACGAGAACTTTAATTTGAGGTCAGGATGCCATTATGAACACCATTGATAAAGGCTGCCCAGGGAATATGCTGAATCAGGTGGAGTTCCTTTTTCAATATTTTGTTTAATGATATTAATGTATTTCTCAATGTTTGGACTGCACATATATTCTCCTTAAGCCTTTGGGGAGAAACCAATGGGATAGGAAAAATTACTTTAAAAAATTCAGAGATTTCTAGGGTCATGAATTTCCACATATTCTTTTTTTTTCAGATGTAGGGGCAGTCGCCTAACAGAAGGGGAGGAGCAGTGTGAACTGAAGATCTGTAGGAGAAACAGGACCAAATCTTGCAGATTCTGAACTTGAGATCCAAGTGCCCCCCCGACAAATGAAGGAAAATTATTTACCCTTCATAACTGTCGTTCTTCAAGACGTGTGGTCCCTATCTGTAGTCCACTGTGGGTACACATGTGCTCCATGTGCATGAGACCGGAGAATTCTAGCAAGTAGTGTCCATTGGGCCACACCTGCACCTTTGCTCTCCTTTTGCTCTGTGCTGAGAGTATAAGGGGTGGGGCTGCCCCACGCCTCTCCAGTTCCCCCATTTACTGTGAATCAGAGAGGGTCTGAAGCAGAGAGGAAGGAGGGGGGGTAGTGGAATACAGATTGGGATCACACATCTCAAAGAACTCCAGTTACAAAGGGTATGTAAGTTTCCTTTCTTCTTCGATTGCCGATCCCTATGTGTATTCTGCTGTGGGTCACTGACAAGCAGCACTTATAGAGGAGGAGGGTGTGAGGATGCAGGTGGTATGGTTGCTTGTAAAAACCACTATTCCAAAGAATACATCAATGGAGGAGGCTTGGACCAAGGCACAATGCCTTGTGAATGTGGGGGTGGAGCTTGTTGCTGCCTTGCTAATATCAAGCAGAGGTACTTCTTGGAATGCTGCTACTGAGGCTGTCTGTATTCTTGCAGAATGAGCCCATACTCCATGTGGGGGAGGAAGGTGTGCCAGCAGATAGGATACAGCCAGAGATCCACTTGGAGATCCTTTGGGAGGAAACAGCTTGTTCTGCTTTGGCAAGAAACGGCCCAGGTGACTTACTGATCTATTTTGTTCTCTGTAGAATAAGATGCCAAAGCTCATCTCATGTGGCGGGAATGAAGTCTCTTCTCTATGCTGGAAGCATGGGGCTTTGGGAAGAACACAGCTAAGTGGCTAGTCTGGTTTATGTGAAATTCCAATACTACGTTAGGGGGTGAATTTTGGATGCAGCTGTAGCAAAACCTTCTCTTTATGAACTATAGTGCAAGGAAGGTTCACCTACCAATTCATCCGAGGTGATGGCAGTGAGGAAAGCAACCTTCATAGACAGATGAAGCATCAAACAGGTAGGCTGGGCTTCAAAAGGTGGTGTGGATTTTTCACACCCCTGAGCGACATAGCTGTGTTGACCTAAATTTTAGTGTGAACCTGGTCTTAGATTCCTGGCATATCACTATAGCAGTCGGCATGGATCTTTAAGCAGTATTGGCAGCATCAACTGCAGCTTGTAATGAGGGTCTTGCCACTAAACTGCCCTCAATAAGAGCTCAAACTTGAGCCCTATCCTCCTTCTTCAGGTGCTGGGTCCTTATTTGTATTCCACTATTGATACACATGCGCTTTATCTGTCTGAGACTGGAGAATTCTAGCAAGTAGTGTCCATTGGTCTTCACCTGTACCCTGCTCTCCTCATGCTCCGTGCTGAGGGCATAAGGAGCAGTGCAGACTGACACATTTCCTGTTCCTTCTGGCCTGAGAAGAGTTCCAAATCCCCTCAGAAGAGGTCCAGGACTCCAACACAAGCTACTGGATAGCCCAGCGCCTACAGGCTCTAGCTGAGTGGCACTCCTAATCCATGAGGCCATACTGAAACCAGGAAGAACTGTGTGGCACACGTGCCCCTACTACTATGAGAGCAAAAAAGCAGCACTTTGTCCTGACAAAGGGAGCAGAGTTATTCTTCCATGCTGCCCCAAACTCCACAGTCATGCAAGCAGCCATGGAAAAGTCCAGACACCACCACCCAAAGGCCACCTGGCTGGTTCAGGAGGCGAAGAGTTTAGACCTTATGGAAGAAAGGTGTTTGCTGCCACCAGTCTCTAATTTAGAATTTCCAACTTCCGGGCCCTCTTGGCAAAATATGATTTTTTGTTTTATTTTAAGTTCCTGGACTTTTAAAGACAAGTTACCCCCGAACTGGGTGTTTCCCATTCCATTGGCTCCCTCAGTGTGACGGTGAACTGCTCTGGGGCAGGGTAAAGCATTGAATGCTGGTCAGACCAGCACTAACCTCCGTGACAATTTACCCCAGAACTGCAGTTCCTTTCCCAGGGAAGCATGCCACATACAGCAGCTGCTCCCTTCCTGCTGGCCACACACCTCAATTTGTAGCAGAAAGCCAATGTGAATTGTACACTCAGAGGGGACGCTGCTATTTACAGAGGACTGGGAAAGCATGCAGCATGGGAGCTGCTCCTTCCACATGACCACCGCCTGGCCCACTTCCCTGAAACTTTGCTCCCCTCTGTGCTGCACACACACACATGAGTATGTGCGTATGTGTTTGTCTGTATATCTAGCTACCTAGAGAGAGGGGGCATCTGGTTCTTAATAATTTGGGAATTTAAACAATTATACACTGTAAAAAAAGGCATGCAAGTTTATTTCTGACAAATATCTGATTGCTTCATACTGATAGGGGAACTTGTTTGCCTTGGGCTGCGTTCTGATAAACTGATCTTTACCATCTACCTACAAAAGGGCCCGAGTCATATCAGGGTTTGTAATGTGCAAGTTTGAATTTCAAGATGTGAATCTCAAAAGGATTGTTATTTATCAAATGTCAACTTGCACATAAGTAATAACCACAGATAACTCCTATCTTGCTAGGGATCCTCTTTTAAGAAATACAGTATGATGTAGTTTGGTTTTGACACAGAATTTCACTCACTCTTTCTCACCATAGAAACCAGGCAAATATTTGTGGACATTCCATTAACATTTACAGATAAGTAGAAATGAAAATTATTCTGAACACAGGATATGGTGAGCTGAACAACTAGCTCATCGCTTCCTCTTAACACTGCTCTCTGTCTTAGTGCTTAGGTAAGCC